AGCATGGTCTAGCTCATGGTGGTCACCCGGCTCATCAACTCCAACATCCTCAACAGGTGCCTCAACGGCCCCTTACTGGGGACCACCTCCTCGCCGACCCCCACGACCTCGTGGGACACCCCTACCAAGTCGACCATGTTACAGCTCCACTGGTGGCCCACGATGGTACTGCTCTGGCGCCACATACTCAGCCTCGTATCCTAATCGCTCATCATCTAGGGCTCGCCTCAATGTCCGGAAAGCAAGATCGGTAACCTGCCAGCCATACTTTTGCAAAGCAGCTGCTTCCTTGCCGGTATGCTGATGCATCTACAGTTCCAGCTGGTGGAACAGATGTAGGCCAATAGCCTTCACAACATGTAAAATATAAATTACGAAACACTAGGTTGACATTATAAGTAAGTATACTAAATAACATACCAGTGCCTCGTGCCTCCCGGCGTATGGAACGTACCGATCGCCAGCGCGATAAATATGATTCTCGATGAAAAGTCGGGTAACGTTGCGGTACCAGCTCATATACACATGCTCACCATCCGTACGGTTAGGTGGAGGGAGTGGCGGAATCAGGTCATACGGTCCCAAATATCGATTTGTGCCTCTAGCCATGCCACATATGTCTGGTCAACCCTGGAACGATCATCCCGCTGGTAATGTGTCATATGTCAAGTGGGCGGTGGCAGTACAAGCTGCGGGCGACCAAACTAGCGAAGTACTCGCTCGGTGGCATGATGCTCGACAATATCGAGACACATCAACGGGACAGAAGAGCTCCACATAATTCGGCTGGTTGAGCAATAATCGGGCAAACCAGCTATTAGCTCATCGCGTATGTGTGTATATGCAACACATATAAAGCCAGGCCAAGTAAACTTAGGTATACATTTACCTGTGCGCCTTCCAGCAAATCCAACAAATCCCTGCAATAGGGGAGATTAAGTCGAGCCTCGTACTCCCGTCCATATCCTCACCTATCAACCCACCTCCTTGCTAAAGGGAGAAACAGAGGTGGTGCATCCGGAGCTAAGGGTGATAGAGGTGGCTGCAACTGTAGGAACCGCTCCCAGGCTCAAACCTAATATACAATATGGACGTAAACTTTAAGGTATATTTTTACTAGGTATATTATAATAAAGAGAGTATTTGACTATGTTTTCACCTGCAGCAGCGGCAAAAATCCTGCAACGTCTCGCTGGGTGCCCATGCTCGCCCGGCACATCTACCTGTACAAGTACCAAGAACAACAGCACCCCAGCTGTAATGATGTAAATCATCTAGCCGCTCAAGATGATGAAGAAATCTCAAGCTAACTAGGTTCCCCGAAGTGTTCGGGAACAAAACCCCTCCAAACATAAGCAGCAACAGCAAACTCGTGTACCGGTGAATATGAAGCTCCGGTGTATCATCTGTGATGTCAGCGTGCATCGCCTCCAAATGCTGCCGGACGGGCGTCAACTGCAGACGACTGGCCCCAATCAATGCAGTCTCATCCGGTGGCTGGAAACTGGTGAGCCGCTACAGCATCTTCAGGTACTGCAAACCCATATACTCTCTTATGGCATTCGAAAAAGCAACGTGGTGTCCATCAACGGGCAGCCCATATAGGACCTCCACGTCCTGAAGCGTGATAGTGGCCTCGCCAATGGACAAATGGAATGTGTGCGTCTCCGGTCGCCACCGCTCTATCAGGGCCGTGATCAACGACCAATCCAGCTGCAGCCGGCCGATCTCCACAATCCTATAAAAACTCGTATCCTGGAGGCGTCTCACTATACGAGGATGGAGAGGGTGGGCTCTAAGAAAGTCCCACATATCGTCTACTCTCCTGGCGTGGAGCGTCTGGGCCAGTAACTGTCCCTCCCATATGTAGGAACGTCTGGGCCAGTAACTGTCCCACCCTGTAGCAACAGTAGCTCTAGCGTGGCAGGTCCGGGATGCAAAGGCGGAACCTCCATGTCGGCTACTGTAAATTGAACAATATTAATTACATTATTTTACTTTAATATGTTAGTTTTATTATTTTACATGTTAGTTTTATTATTTTATATGTTTATTTGTTACTCACCTATTTTTTGACTATAATAAAATTAAATAAATAATTTTTAAATATTCACATATGGGTTCGGGGCTCGATATTTGAGGCCCAGTAGCACCAAGGTATCCTGAATTCTTGTGTTCATGATGAGAAAAGTTTTTCGATTTATCACTCAATAGGTATGTTATTGTAAATGTTAGTTTATTATTTATATGTTAGTTTTATTAATTTATATGTTATTTTTATTATTTTATATGTTAGTTTTATTAATTTATATGTTAGTTTTATTATTTTATATGTTAGTTTTATTATTATATATTTTTGTTTATGACTCAATTATTTTTGACTATAATAAAATTACATAATTAATTTTCATAACTATACATCATTTAATTATTAAATATTCATATAACAATAGTTAGTTCGAAAAATATTGTTATTTTCTTATGTTATTTTCTTACTATCGTTGACTAGAATTGGACAAAGTTTGTGTTTGAACTTTTTTGACGTATTTTTGGGTATAAGAGATACTTAAATAATTAATTTCAATAACTACAAGGATACTACGCTAAAGGACACTACATTACAAATACGAGCACTACATTAGGCCACAAGATACCACTACAGGGAATTAAACTAACAATTTATCTATTTTACTAGTCTTTTAGCAAATAAATAATCTAAAGCGGATAACAACAACAAATTAATTTAATAAAAAAATAATCACGAAAATACATATACCACAGTAAAAAGTAACTAATTAATATTATTTTTAACAACTAATAATATTTTCTCTATTTTACTAATTATTTTTAGCATACTAATACTATAGTCTGGATAAAAAATAACAAATTAGTTAAATCACAAAATAATCACAAAATAATATAGTGCACATTAAAAATAACTAATATGCATTTTTTATACGAGTTTTAACAAAAACTAAGTCGGAATACCTCGATTTAAGGTTTTTGAAAAGTTAAAGATTTGGTGATTTGGAGCCGAAACCAGCAACCCACTACTAGAGTACGCCTTAGCAAGGATGTGCGACCGAGAATCTATACTTTTTGTGGGACCGGTGGGCTCCACTCGAGCTTTTTTCGGTGACAACAGGGGGGACCGCTATTTTTTTTTGTTTTAAAGAGGGTGGGTGG